AGTGTCTGATGTTGGGTCTACTAAAAAAATGGAATCAAGGATATATTTCTTTTGAATATTTCTAGATGAGTGAGTGAGTTACGTTTTAAAGCTGCATCAGCATTTCAAAAAAATGTTTCTACTTACCAACCGATCCTGTATTCTGGAGTCCATTAATTCCCATGTAAGCACATATTATAAAACAATCACCTCCAAACACCCACCCTTGTTAGTCTGTTATTTTTTTGTTAAAAAGGTGCAATTATAGGAATTAAAAGAAAAGACCTTGAGTAAGGTAGGATTTTAAATTATGAAAATTTTCAATATCACTATGGTACTCTCCTAAGGACTATTTAGTGTGATTAGAAGTAGTTGTCAGTGTGTGTTGATGCGATGGAATAGTCTATGTTCATGCTGTCATCCACTGGTTGTCTGGTCCTGACTCAATTACTTACAGGCCGCCATTATTTCATCTGGACTATTTCATACTGTGGTGTAAAGCAACATTGGTTCACTCACTGGTGAGAATGACACCTGATGTGGAATTTGCAAGTATGCAGCAATGTACGAGGTATTTGTCTTCAGATCCCTGTCGGTGGGGACACCACACTCTGCAATGTACATGATAATGACATGTACAGCAGGAGGACGGTATTAGCATTCCATGTCACTTTTTATGATGCAATTTATCTGAGTTGGGAGGCCCTTTCACAGCCCTGATTGTTGTACATGTGGTTTTTTTTACTGACTTGTCACATTGGATGCAATGGATCCAGGCAATCACCTTGAGAAAAACGGATCTGCAGGTATAACGAGAACTGCATGCAGCTTAAATATCACACGCATACTGTCGATTGATTTGGCTACTATTTCATGTAATACAAAATGCATTTGATGTATGTAGGTAAAATTAAGGCAGTCATTGCTTATTTTAATTGTCATGTGAATCTTCACAAGCTCTTCCAGGTTGGGCTGTGCTCATTGTAAACAGTTTCAACTTTTATCACTAGCTGTGAGTAGTTGCTTAGGCTATATTCTGGATGATAGAATTTTGACAAAAAGATGTTATTTGGATAGAAGTTTCAGCTTGTACTTAATTGATTTATTGCTACAACACCACACAGGTTTTATTCATCTTGTAAGCAGTGTGTTGACATTTAATGATTTTGTGGCTTGCTTTGATGGCGCTATTGTCAATATTTGTCGGGCTTTTTGGTGTACTAAGCAGGACAATCAGTGCTGATGGAAGCAAAGTCATTATTTTGTATACTTGGTAACAGGTTTTACTTTGGTTATTCTTAGATCTATTATAGCATGATTTTGAAAACTGTTTTCTTTCGAATAGTGATGTAATGAAGGAAGATGCATCAGTTCTGTTGCCCTCATAGCCCTGTTGTATGAAGCAATCATTGAGCCGTGACTGTGATAAAGCATAGGAGGGGTGAACGAGTTGTCTGAGGCCCTGCAGTTCGCTGTGTAGAGTTGTTTCCCTTAGGCTTGCTAGGAACATATTTTTGTGGGTTCAAATCCAGATAGGGCCTGATTATGTTTCTAGCTTTGTCAGTTACCACCAAAGTGGTAAACACCTGCATCAGTTTGGGTTTTCCTCCATCATAAGGCTGACACACTGCAGAAATAATGTTTGAAGCGGGATTAAACCCATCTCACTCACTCATTCACTGAAGTATGGGAGTTATATATTCTTATATGAGTCAGTTGTTGATAATTATATGTGGCAGTGTGATGTAACATCTAGTGTGGTATAAATCCATTATTCCTATTTTTCATCAAATATAATTACTGTAGACCAGATCCACATTCAAAATAGAGTTCAAGATATGAACAAAGGTTGCCAGTCCTACAGTTATTCTTCTATTGTAGATTGTTGTATTGGTCATCTAGATAGCCCGAGTTAGATCCCTGATGTTACACACACCCTACTCCATGAAGCAGAGTAGCAGATGATCAGCTTTACCAACTCTTCTCATGATAGGGTTAAAGTGTTAGGTTATCCCACCGAAGATCAGGGTTTTGTTCTCCACATGGACCTGAGGTGTGAAGCCAATTCTTTTTGTATCCTGTGATGTAAAACAGCATTCATTCACTCACTCACTCACATCAGATTATAGTTCATCCATATTTCTGTATCCATGATTCAAACATCTGGAAGATGTCTCCCTTCAGACACTTGTGTCCAGACATCTGTAGATGGATAGATAGGGAGGGTGGGTTCAAATGGGCCTGATGTCTGACAGATGAAACCAGTGGAGATAGATAGCATCACACTGCTAGGTCCATCATAACCACAGTCTACAGCAACTTATTGATTGACCAGGATCTTTCAGCTAAGGTAGGAGAACACAGGATATACACAGTGCCTGATGCTGGCTTTGTTTCTCTATGTAAGAACTAGCGGCACACGATAACACATGCTGCAAGGTCATGACGTCATTCTGTTGGCCAACACCAGGCCAGATGTAAAAGTATATATTTATTCAGTACCTTACTTCATATTTGTCTAAGATTGGTTAGAGATTGGGGAACACAAAGTGTGTCTGAGAAGTGTCTTGTGCCATTGTATTCTTATTTTAGAGGTTATGTTTTTCTTATGAATGTTATTACAGTCAAACACTGTTGTGTCAAACCTTGATTTGTCGAACTTACAGTTATTTAAAGACTTGGTGCTTGCTTATTTCTTCTTTATTCATCACTAAAGTTGTGCCGAACTTCGGTTTATTTATGTTGATCCCTTCAACTTCAGGACAACTGTGTTTGACTGTATGTCACAACTGACACTATTGTGCACAGCTGGCTATAACCTATTTTTTTTATATGCAGTGTTGGAAATAAAGGAGGTCTTTGAGGTCTTCTGTGGTATCTGTGGATCTATTAACTTCCACAATCTTTAACATGGAACATTAGGTTTACAACAAGGACTTCTTGACTTTCATCCATAATTTTGAACACTGGTATGAATGTATAAGAATGTCATAATTGACACTATTGTGAACAGTCTTTGTACATAGTATTTACATGATGCACCTGCTACCACAAATACCTCTATCCCCTAGAAGATCCAAGAAGTCTATGGGTTCCTGAGACTGCATATTAGTGTTTTCATGATAAAGTTTAGTAGCATGATTATATTTCATAAGATGCCTCTCTTTGATCCCAGCATGCCCACGAGTGCCAGCCATGATTTCTGCCTCAGGTGTTTGTCGAGCTACTCACAGCAACCGGGCAGGCTTCAGCAACCTGATTTCATTTCCCATCTTGTTTGATGATTGTTTGTACTTTAGACAAATTTCAAAAGATGAATCCTTTTATTCCGTGACTTTGATATGATCAGGTCCCTAGGGTGATTCCCACACCTGTGTATGTCAGGAGGGTGGGAAGGGAAGGTACAAGGTGGGGAGGGAGGAAGTGTACGAGGCTTGAGGTGAAGGTACCGGTACAGATGTCCAAGAGGGGAGTTGGATGTCAGATCATGTTGCCAAAATGTTCGGAGGAAACCTATGCTCAAGTATGAAATACAGCATCCTTTTTTTATTTAGTTCAGACAACACAATAACTTGCAAACTTCAAAAAAGAGATCAAGAATGGAGATAAATCTGTCCATATTTCTAAAATAGTTAATGATGGCGTTGTAAACATATCAAATTTAGTTTATAATACAAAACTAGGAAACCTCTGATTAGAATGTTTGTTTGATATTTAGATGCTTTATGCTTTGAAATCTGTTACTTCTGTTGTCAGATCAGAAATACAGGGATCTGAAAGGCTTGGAGCAATTCACAACTACAATGAGCCTAGTGTTCTTGGCACCTTCAAATGTTATGACAATTTTTTTCTCAACCTTCATTCATGCTGTATTGAAAGATGGGATGCCCTTTGATAAGTCTGACATCAGCATGCCGTTTCTCCTTGTTCCTTGTGGACTTGGTGATCACTGCACTGCTGGCCTGTGTTCCTGTGAAGGTGCTGTAATTACTTGACATCTATATCCCACAGTTCACCTAGGAATTTCAATGTTCAGGTTTTGTCTTGCTCTAGGCTCTCGTCTAGATCTGATAGTCGTATGTTTCTTTGAAATGGACATGATTTGTGTAGATGATAGATGGATGTGTCATCACTTGCATGTTTTGAGATGGACGATTTGCTTCTTAGCTCAACATGCAAGCAGAGTTTTTTAAAGGGTTACTGCGCTCGTTTTTGATGTGTTGTTATCTTTCCGTGGGGTTAGGGGAATCTGAAGCTTGTGTCATCGGTTGTGTTTATAAGGGTAAATGTTCTGTGATACTGATAGCTTATAACATCATCTGCTTGGAGTGATGGTTCCAAAAATGCTACATAATGTGCAACCATGCTGCATGATTTTTGCATTCAGGAACAGGATTATAGAACCGTTGATGCAGTAGCTATTAATGATGTAATGAAACGGCTTGTGCCATATGAGGCTCATATTACGTTCTAAGCTTTCTCTTTGAAAAATGTATATATATTATAACTGGCATGATCATCAGGTGGCTTCCTGACATTCGTGTGATAGATCTGGCTGTCTTAGTGTAATTTCATACCCTAATGACCTTGGTCCATACAAACTGGGTAAAAGTATAGGTCGCCAACAGCCTGTGCTTTGTGTAAGAGCAAACTGTATTTTATTGGATGGTCAGGCTCAGTGACGCGGTTGATAGCGTCAAATCCCAATTGCATAGATTGATGTGTTCGACATCAATCACTAGTTTGTCTGGTCCAGACTCGATTATTTACAGACTGCTGGAATATTGCAGTGTGTTGCATAAAGCAGTCAAGCAAACAAGATATGACTTTAATTCAGAATATGGCTTTCCTTCACAAATATCACTTAAATGGTGAGAAATTGCTTTTCATTGTAGACCAATTCAATTGGTAAGATATATGCTATGCTGATCCCAACATGGTATCTCCTCGGTAAGCTAGGAGGTCCAGTAAATATTTGAGTCCACAGTAAGGCAGTAAGAGTTATCTCCCCTGTGTTACAGGTGTTAGAACAGAAGCCGGATGGTATCTGGAAGGGTTACGTAGTGCAGAGCGGGAGAATGGCAAAAACAGGCTTCTTCCCTGCCAACCATGTGGTTCTTGTTGACAGCCAAGGTGAGAAAATAAAAAACTTATTCCAAATATTGAATTATTGTATTTAGTATCTACATATTTCACATAGATCTACTTTAATTTAAGGTCTTCTGTTAAAGATATATTCTTAAATATCATCATAAAATAACAATAAAATCCTAATACAAATATATTTTTTAATCAGATTTGAATAATATAAATGATCATTATTCAGATGAGATATTATCACATGACATATTTTTTTCTTTATGTACAAATAATATTTATATGAAAAGATTATTGCCATTACTTCATGTAAATGGTCTTCTGACAGTGGTTGCCAAACAGCAGCAACAGATAAGCCAGCAGTCGAAGCGTATCAACATGCCGCCGGTCCCCGATCTCCTGAACCGAAGCCCTGGATACATGGGCAGCAGTCAGCATGGTGGAGGCGGACACTTCAGTGGCCTGGGGGTCGACGACAACTTCCCACCCCCTCCATCACCCCTCACACTCGCCAGGTCGCCACACAGAGGTAGGAACGAACTTGCACAATACATGCGTACATTGAGAGACTGTTGGTCTGAATGATGACATGCTTGAAATTGTAACGAGGGCACACTCATGTCTGTGTTGCTTCATTAGCTTCAGTAGTCCAGTGTTCAGTAGGTCTAACTTATCAATATCAATGGTCACTTTTAGTTCACCCAAATCCTGTTAATATGGTCAGTATAAACTAATCGTCCGTAATGACAAATAAATGGTGTTGTGAAATGGGGTTTAACGTCGTGTTACGGCACTTTTATAGTGACTTGCATGCATGTGTGTGTATGGCTGCTTGTACAAGTCCAGACTAATGCTAGTTTTATAGTGCTAGCCCACTGAGATACCATGCAGCAGTTTAACATGGATACCCTACTCAGACACTGTAAACCAGTCCCCATAATGCTTTTTGCTAGGCAGGGTAACAACAAGTACCATTTTGTAACGTCATCTCACCTCGCAGACACTCTGTTCACTAGACATCAGAGGTAGTCTGGATTAATGAATCTTAGTTGTGGGGTGATGTTCTTTGCATACATTTAGATGTTCCTGACAGTAATGGAAAGGAATGTAGGGTTCTAGACTATGAGAGGCCAGATATGTGATGGATTAATAATGAAAAGTTCTATTGTGAATTTGGTGGAGGTTTGAAATGTCCCCTGGTCTTACAGCCTTGGACTAGATCTACCTCTTTCCAATTTACAGTTAAGATCTAGTGTTTACTTTTATCTTTATAGACCCGTGAAGATCTGGGTTTGAACAGGCCTTCATGCAGCTACCCATGTTTGGTGTAAAAGGCAATTATGGTTGTCGTAAGAGGTGACTAATGGTATCGAGTGGTCAGGCTCGCTGACTTGCTTGATGCATGTCGTTGTATCCCAATTGCGTGGATCGATGCTTCTGGTGTCCATCACTGGATTGTCTGGTCCAGACTCAATTATTTACAGACCGTCGTCATACAGCTGGAATATTGCTGAGTGCGGCGTTAAACAACAAACAAACAAATTGACCTTTCTCCCTAAAAGTGACACTTTGTGAAAAGGAAAATGACCTTGACAACCTGCTGTAGGTATTTGAAAGGGCAGACATTTGTGGCAGGTAAATATGCTGAATTGTCGTACATCTGAAATGTAGATTTTGGTGAATGGGTTTGGTTTTAATGACATGGAAAGGAATGTAAAACAGGGATGTTGTACACTGAATTGGGGATTATTACAAAGAAATGAAGTCCTTGTTATTGCATAGATACTTGTTGCGAGGATGTATGTTTACAAGTCGTATGGACTGAGTTGGGACAGGAGCACGGAGGACTGTGCTGTAGTGACTAGACGCTGACAAAGAGTTGTTGTACGAGATGTAGACTACCTGCAGCCAACGTGATGCAGTACAAAGGAGACATCCGCTGTCTGAGAAATCAACAGGATAAACACGCTTCACACATCTGACCCGTTAAATATTAAATACTATATATTTGTATAGATGTGTGGAGCCACGAATGTATTAGGGAAGAATGAAAGGGGTAGTTTGTGGCAGGATGTCAGGTCTGTTTAGTAGCACTGCCTTGCGACTGGCTTGAAATCAGCAGGATTGAATTGTAATGTACAATTTGAGGGTTGTCGGCCACATACTTCCAGCAGACTGGCTCTGAATGATGCATTTGTCAAGGTAGGACTGAATTACTGCATTGATAATACGCACACTACAAATTCTCCTTTCACTTTGTCTGCTTTTATATAGGAATGTTTTCACTAAATGCTCTGTGTCACTGGCCTACAGTCAACCATGGCTGACATTCAGGCCTTGGCAATTAAGTGCTAACTGTATGTTTAAATTGATATCAACCCCTTTACTCTTACACATTTATAGAAATGCAGTAGTACTGTTGCTATAAAACATGTTTTGTGTGATTTATCTGACACAGTATGATAAATGTGAGACTCATTTTGAACGGATTACATTGATACTGTGTTTAGTCAGTGCTGCTTGATGTGAGTTGACGGCACACATGGTCTAGTGGACAGTGCGTCTGCCCAAAGAGGGGAAGGTCTGTGGTTCCATCCCCTGCCACGTCCTACCAAAACACATTCAAATATGGTACTTGTTGTTACACGATGTTAGACCCAATTTCACCTTCAACTTTTGACATGGTTAAACTGATGTAAGCTGTACGCAACAGAAGTGTTCAGACAAATACTTACATCTTCCCAGATTTACGTAATTTTGTTGGAATAATTGAGCATTTATCTAATTGTTGAAGTAAAATTTATCTGTATGTATCAGAGATTGTACATCTCCAAAATTCACATATCTATGTTGAGACATTTGTTTATAAACCGAATTCAAATGCCTTGAATTGTACCTAAATGCAAAGATAGTATAATTTTCCTCCACAATCTGAGCGGTGGACCCAATCAAAACATGTCCCCATCTGACCACTGTTTGTTTACATGTACGTCAACAATCCTGATGAGACTCTGGTTCGGTGAGCAGCTGGCCTGATTGCTACATATACATTGTAACATTATAAGGTTAAGATTACTTGTAGGCCACATCAGAGCTTGTTAACAGACATTTGTCTCTCGCCTCCAAGATGGCTTCTTTCTCTATGTTAATTGGGGGCTTTAACAGAATACGAGGTGTTTACGTTAATTGGTTGCAGGGATTGAAGTGAGTGCCAGCAAAAATCTTCCCAAAATCCATTTTGCTACCTGAACTCTCATGACTCTCATGTTTGTTGTATATTTGTTTCATCTACAAGTGAATAGTTGAAATATCTTTAATGTAATACCTGTAGTTTGCACATTTGCATTTGTTACCATTGAAACTGCAAATATTGCAACTTAAGTTAATGAGATAACATTTATGGTGATGACATTATTCAGACATCATACAATGTTAATGTTTCTGATGGTGTAGCCAACACAAGGTGTATGCATACTTCAATCTGTAAACCATGTATGTAATTAATTACAACTATATATTGTGCATTTAATATGAAAGCCCCACTCATAGAAGATGACCACTATGTAATATTTACCTGAGGCGCTATAACCCAGACAATAATATATGTGTCCAAAATGACTACACTTCAATAAAATGTTTTTCATCTGACCATCACGCTGCATTAAGGGAGTAAGGAAATAAAGTGTTTGTTTGATCTTTAAGTAAATAGAATTATTAGCAGGCAGTTGACGGGAGATGAGAGATTGCTCAATACAGAAATCCCAGCTGTCCATTACTTGCAAGCCTTCACCATAAATATTGCATCCTGCCCATGGTAGGAATCAATTGCCAGCTGAGTGACGTGGCTAGTGCTATGTGCAGGCTACCTACTCCCTACTGGAACCCGCAGGGGGATCACCTCAATAGTTTAGATGACGGATAAAACACTTTCAGAGTTTTAATGAAACACCACAACCTCGATCGACCCTCCCTCACTCCCTCTCTCAAACCGAACTAACTAACACAAACACGCACGCACGCATGCACACACACACACACAGATATACTACTCAAAAGTAGTTAAGGACCGCCCAATTCTTTCATATTACTATAGTTAGTTAATCTGTCACAGCATGTTCACGATATGTCTAGACTACCTCCAATGTGACTCTAAATTTTAAGTCACTCACTCACTGTCACAGCATAAGGTGGTACTCGGTGGTATATCGGGTGGTACTTAACTTCTTTTGAGTAATATATTAATCATATCAAAATAGATATTTTTGCTTTACTATTCTATCTTGGACGAAAACATTTGGGTCTCCTCGCATTTATTTTCTGTACATTTCAGTTTCAATATACATGTATATAGGTTATAATTGTCTGAGATTACTAGATTTGTGTGTTATTTAACTAGACCCAGGGTTCAGAGGAGGGGCTAAGGTCACAGACCTTGTGACAGTTGTCTGATTTGTAGCCTAAAAACACCTTACATTAATCTTAGGAATTCTTTTGAAACCATCCGAGAAGAAATATAGATGAATGTTGTACTATCATATGATGATTTGGGATAAACTGCATCTGCAATCACTGAGCTTAATGGGCTGGGAGAAAGAACCCTGCCAGATATATTTGCTTTAAATAGATAACTTGTTTTTGTTGCCAGAAATAGGCAGAATGAAAACAATCATTTCAAGTGCGTACCACAGCATAAATAAATCGAGCTGTATGGAAATGAGAACAATTTTTGGCACGTGTTTGAGATACGTTCAACTGAAATTGCTTTGAAATTGACGAGATACCAAGCTGAAATTGACAAAGGCTAATGAACTATCAGTGTTTACATGAGCTTCTCAAAGTGCCTTTGCATGTTGGAGCAGAAGGAACATATGCATTGTAAAACAGACATGCTGCTTAAATATGAAGGAACAGATTGATATTTGTCATCTCAATGATCTATTTTTTGCAGATTGGTTTCAGGATCTGTAAAAACATTAGACAATGGGCTTAATTAAATCTAAACGTGTTCATTGAATCTAAATCAAAAGTGTTCTTTTATTAGGTAGTGCTTCAACCTTATCAGCAGTTGGGTCAAGGAAAAAGGATTGCAACATAGTAAATTACGTTAACATGATCTTTCTGTTAGACTGAATTCAGAGATTGTTTTGGCTGAAATGAAAAAAATGAATTCAAACTGCTGTCTGGTGGTACATGGTCACATAGAATATTTCAGTAAGTATTTGAAAATGTAAAGAACAGCACAGCATTAAGTTTTGATCTATGAATAATGTATCATTTCGTTTAAATAATGATTATGATGTTGAATTTTGGTTTAATGAATAATTTTCCCATAAGTTGATACAAAATCAACTGAAGCTGTCGCACATTAACAAACCATGACACGACGCAAAGCTTCTTTAGAAAAGAAATTGAAAGAGATAATCATGCCATTTGTAGCACAGACGGAACAGAAGGAAAGTGATGTCACGCAACCATTTTTTAAAATCCTCCCAAAGCACCTTGATCTAAAAATACAGACTCATTGCAACTGGTCTATTTTCTGAACTGAAACTAATTTGTTCACAGGTTTTAATGTGGTCATAGAGTATCTAACAGCAAGGCTTAAAAGTTAAGTGTCATTGGATTGTAACCAAGAACCTTTAACGAAGGATGCCAGCAATTCCATGTGATGAATTGCAGAACAATGATTGGCTACAATAAACGCCTCACCAGTGAAATTGACATTAATGGTATATCATTTTCTGCTTTGCCACCTTCAGTCTAGTGATTGGTAAAGCCCTTCACTCTAATTGGATGCATTCTGCTCCTCTCTAGGGCAGACTCACAACTTGTAGCACTGCACTGGCCACTCGGGAGGCTATTTGCCCTATGGCTGAACCCCATCAAAATCTACTGCAGTTTGATATTAATGTTATGATATATATTAAGACTGTAGCATCTCACTTGAACAAGACAACCACTTTGGCTGAAAGAGCCAACCTGGCATTGAATCATTCAAGAAAGTTTTGATATCAAATTATCCATTACATGACAGAGAATAAAATAACAATCCATTACCCACTGGAAATTGCTTTAGTTTTTTGGAGGGGGACAAAAAATGAAACTGTTTATGATCGATGAATTAACATGAGAGGTTTAAATCATGCCTTGTTTCAAAGTTGGATGATAACAATGGCCACTGAAGATGTCTGTCAAACTGGCCTGCAGTGCCAGTATTTCTTCTGACATTGTTCGTCTTTGAGAAAAACACCATAAGGAACTCCAAACATTGACCATTAATTCTGTCACCGGTGGGAAATATTTCCATTGTTACGAACTTTGCAACAACTCAAGTGATGGAAATGTTATTTTGTTTTTGTGAATGTAGTCCAATAGACATCTAATCTTGTTCCAGCTTGTGTTAATGTAGACAGTATAGGGTTCATATGAATGTCCAAGAAGATTGCATCCACACTTACAAAGTGTCCATTCATGTAGGGAAATCTCTGATAACTTTTGTCCATGCCCTTATGAGAATACCTACAACAGGGTCTATAAAACTAAAACTACTAAACCAGAAAGATGAAACTGCTACATATATAAGGGCCGTCATATAGCTGGAATATTGCTGAATATGGCGTTAAACAACAAACAAACATATATAACAAACATTGACATAAAACCATATCTACTGAAACAGCAGGCAACCCATAGTCACCTACAGCAGATAGACTGGAATCGGGTGGTCAGGCTTGCGGACTTCGTTGATGCATGCCGTTGTACCCCAATTGCGTGGATCGATGCTCATGTTGTCAGTCACTGGATAGTCTGGTCCAGACTCTATTATTTACAGACCGCCGTCATATAGCTGGAATATTGCTGAGTACGGCCTTAAACAAGAAACAAACATATATAAGGTGAAACTACTGCATCTGTAAAATGAGACAACTCCATCTCTAACATGAAGCTACTGCACTAAGATATAACTGCTACATTTAGAAGACCAGGACAACACCCCATTCGTATTGTGTTGGCAGACTAAAATAGGAATCAGGTTATTACAATGAATATGTGTCATTGTACCCTGACAGCATGGTTGTTTCCCAATGTACAACCACTAGTTTGTCTGGTCCGAAATTGTATACCACCATGCTGTAATACTTTCAACTGTAGCATTAAACAATATTCACCAACACGCTCAACAAGATAGAAGTTTCCTGGCTAGTACTTACCTTACAGGGCACATATGATAAGAAATTGAAATATACATGCTGTGTACTTGCAATAAAGCCATGCAATTCAAACATTGATCGTCAGCTCAAGGCTACTTGAAATTCAGGAGTCGAGTTAAGTGTCACCTACCCTCTATTGAATTGAAAACAACCTCCTACATGATGAAACATTCCGCTGTGCTATACACTATATTATTACATACAATCTTGGCCTACTGATAACTTGTTACATACTTTAATATCAATTAGTTTCACTGGGTGTTAGATGCTTAAAACGTTCCCTCGGGGAAGTATTCCTGGTTTGCAACAGGATGAGATTGGTGGTTTAACAGCTGATTGGGTGGTATATGCAGCAAATTGGGTGGTATATACATCTGACTGGGTGGTATATACACCTGACTGGGTGGTATATACTGCTGATGGGGTGGTAGATACAGCTGATTGGATGGTAGATACAGCTGATTGGGTAGTATATACAGCTGATGGGGTGGTAGATACAACTGATGGGGTGGTAGATACAACTGACTGGGTGGTATATACTGCTGATGGGGTGGTAGATACAACTGATGGGGTGGTAGATACAGCTGATCTGGTGGTAGATACAGCTGATGGGGTGGTAGATACTGCTGATGGGGTGGTAGATACTGCTGATGGGGTGGTAGATACTGCTGATGGGGTGGTAGATACAACTGATGGGGTGGTAGATACAGCTGATGGGGTGATAGATACAACTGATGGGGTGGTAGATACTGCTGATGGGGTGATAGATACAACTGACTGGGTGGTATATACAGCTGATGGGGTGGTAGATACAGCTGATGGGGTGGTATATACTGCTGATGGGGTGGTAGATACAACTGATGGGGTGGTAGATACAACTGACTGGATGGTATATACTGCTGATGGGGTGGTAGATACTGCTGATGGGGTGGTAGATACAACTGACTGGATGGTAGATACTGCTGATGGGGTGGTAGATACTGCTGATGGGGTGGTAGATACAACTGACTGGATGGTATATACTGCTGATGGGGTGGTAGATACAGCTGATGGGGTGGTATATACTGCTGATGGGGTGATAGATACAACTGATGGGGTGGTAGATACAGCTGATGGGGTGGTAGATACAGCTGATGGGGTGGTAGATACAGCTGATTGGGTGGTAGATACATCTGATTGGGTGGTATATACAACTGACTTGATGGTATATACTGATGATGGGGTGGTAGATACAGCTGATTGGGTGGTAGATACAGCTGATTGGGTGGTAGATACAGCTGATTGGGTGGTAGATACAGCTGATAGGGTGGAATATACTGCTGATTGAGTGGTAGATACAACTGATGGGGTGGTACATACATCTGATGGGGTGGTACATACATCTGATGGGGTGGTATATACAACTGATTGGGTGGTATATACTGCTGATGGGGTGGTAGATACAACTGATGGGGTGGTACATACATCTGATGGGGTGGTACATAAATCTGATGGGGTGGTAGATACAACTGATGGGGTGGTAGATACAACTGATGGGGTGGTAGATACAACTGATGGGGTGGTACATAAATCTGATGGGGTGGTAGATACAACTGATTGGGTGGTATATACTGCTGATGGGGTGGTAGATACAGCTGATCTGGTGGTAGATACAACTGATTGGGTTGTATATACTGCTGATTGGGTGGTAGATACAGCTGATTGGATGGTAGATACAACTAATCTGGCGGTATATACAACTGATTGGGTGGTATATACTGCTGACTGGGTGGTAGATACAGCTGATTGGGTAGTAGATACAGCTGATGGGGTGGTATATACAACTGATTGGATGGTATATACTGCTGTTTAGGTGGTAGATACAGCTGATTGGGTGGTAGATACAGCCGATTGGGTGGTATATACAACTGACTGGATGGTATATACTGCTGTTTGGGTGGTAGATACAGCTGATGGGGTGGTAGATACATCTGATTGGATGGTATATACAACTGACTGGATGGTATATACTGCTGATGGGGTGGTAGATACAGCTGATCTGGTGGTAGATACAGCTGATGGGGTGGTAGATACTGCTGATGGGGTGGTAGATACAGCTGATTGGGTGGTATATTTAGTTGATTGGTGGTAGATACAGCTGATTGGTGGTAGATACAGCTGATTGGTGGAAGATACAGCTAGTGTTGTACACATATTTACGTTTTTGGCCAATGTGTTGAAAATTTTCACCATTATATCAAAATTGAATTCCCACACATCTTTATTTCATTTTTTAAAATGTAGTTTTAAGTTCAAGATTTAAGTTTTAAGTGTGTCGTTGATCGTCTAAACAGAGTTCTGTTTCTGGGTAGAATAGGTCTTCAGCAACCCATACTTGCCGTAAAAGGTGACTATGCTTGTCGTAAAAGGCGGCTAACGGGATCGGGTGGTCAGGCTCGCTGACTTGGTTGATGCATGTCATCGATCCCAATTGTGTGGATCGATGCTCATGATATTAATCACTGGATTGTCTGGTCCAGACTCGATTATTTACAGGCCGCCGTCATATAGCTGGAATATTGCTGAGTGCGACGTTAAACAACAAACCAAACCAAAAAGTTTCTGTTTGCATTTACACCAAATTCCTTCTGAGGGAAAAGTGATATGGCACTTTGCTTATGCCAAGAACAATTTAAATCTGAGCCCCTCCAGCATTTGATTGGCTAATATTGTGCAGTAGTTTGTGTAGTATTTCAGGGTAGTGGTGGCTTTAATTTCAGTCTATGAATCCTCATGTGACAAATTGAAATGTTTGGCTGTTCTAATCTGTGTTTGTATGCTATTTTAAGTAGTGGCTGTGAAGTTAAGTACCAGCAATATTTCTGTCTAATAGAGATCAATATCTGGTATTTCTGATACAGACTATAGCAGTAGACCCCTCTTGTGAGGTTCATATTATTGGCTGTGTACCAAGTGCTAGCTCCATGCTTCTATAGTGAGGGGAAAGAGAGAGAGAGAGCCCTCGGCTTGTACAAGCCATGCACAGCACAGAATAGAATATTTCAGAATGGTGTAGGGGCCTTACACAGTGTGCATGGAGGAACATGTACCAGCCACAAACAAGTTGGATTAAATGAATTTGGCCTGAATTTCAGAAAACAGCAGAAGAGTTTTTGAGGTGGTGTGCTCAACGGGCCAGTCCTGTTGACAGGTGGAAATAGTCAGTGTCATTTTTTCTGTTTCATTTCAGACGCAATCACGGAGGCAAACCAACATGGGCAACCTCCGCCACCCTACCCTGGGGCCAATCACCAGGTGAGTTCTTGTGGTCCTGTACACGATGATGATTATCATTACCGATTGCTTCATCAGTTTATCTGTTGTATATTGTGTGTCTTTTGAGTAATTAATGGTGATAGATTCATTAAAGCATCACTTGAATGTTTGTGTTATTGAGGTGATGTAATGTGGTGTGAACGTCATGTGGATCTAATGATTGAAACTATCTGCAGCCAGAGAGACAGGAATCTTCATCATGATGAAGATATCAGAACATGACCATGGTGGTTATGGGATCAGCTGGCAGTGATGATGAATCATTATTATGTTTAGTGAGAACAGTGTTATGTTTTTGGTATTGTGAGGGTAATGATGATGATGATGATGCTGTGATGACATCTGATGATGATGTTGCTCTGACATCGAGTGATGTGATACTATTTGATGATGCTGTGATGACATCTGATGATGATGTTGCTCTGACATCGAGTTATGTGATATTATTTGATGATGCTGTGATGACATCTGATGATGTGATGACATGATATAATGGCATCTGGTGTTATGATGACATATGTAATAGTACGACATCTGATGATGTGATATTATTTGATGATGCTGTGATGACATCTGATGATGTGATGACATGATATAATGGCATCTGGTGTTATGATGACATATCTAATAGTATGACATCTGATGATGTGATATTATTTGATGATGCTGTGATGACATTTGATGATGTGATGACATGATATAATGGCATCTGGTGTTATGATGAAATATGTAATAGTATGACATCTGATGATGTGATATTATTTGATGATGCTGTGATGACATTTGATGATGTGATGACATGATATAATGGCATCTGGTGTTATGATGACATATGTAATAGTATGACATCTGATGATGTGATACACAGTTGATGTGGCAGTGACATCTGTTGATGTAATGAAAATCTTATGATGTAAGATGTTATAATGATGATGTTGTGATGAATATCTGATGATGTTATAAGGACATCTGATGATGTGATGAATATCTGATGTTGATACAAGGACATCTGATGATGATGTTTCTTGCACAATAAGAATGACCTCCACGTCAGAATGTGACTCCCACTAACCACCCCTACAAAGTAACCACATTCTAGCCCATCACCTTCACCCCAGACATTCTTGTTCAAAGCTCTTTTCAAAGCGTCCTCTTAACAGACCAGCATAGTTTAACTTACCATCATAAGACAAAATCTACTTGAGGATTGAAAAATCAATGTAGGGCCCCAAGCCACAGCTCACGTTACAACTCCCAAATGTCAAGTAAAATCATTTCAAATTTTTTACTAGTGTTCCCTGTTGTGGTTTGTGGTTTGTGGTTTACAAATTTGATCACTGTGTCAGTGTGTGTAGTTTATGCACCTGCATCCCATGGGGCAGGTGTCTTGTCTACCTGTCGACAGGTGAGGGGAGTGTTCATGCACCCAAGGTGTTGTATTTCACTTTATCACACAGGTACCCCTGCTAGGTGAGGAAACAAGGATGTCTTTATATGTTATTTTGTGCTGGTGATTATCTTTTTATTTTTTTAAATTTTTACACATAAACAGTGGAAATTTGCCTTGGTCTGCACGCAACCTGATGCCATGGAGAAAGACGCTTTGTATGGAAAATTACACAATTATAACTGCTTGGAGTAGTAAATATTTTATGGCAATACTTAAAGGATCATGACTGTCAGAGAAGTTTGAATAAATGTCGTGAAAAGAACGAAATATTGGACACACAAATAACTCAACACAGATTTGATGTAATCTGTATATATTAGCACTGACTGTTTAAGATTTGAGTGTAAGGTATATATGTTGTGTTTTGTACACAAGGAACTATAAGTCTAGTGATGTGAGTGTGAGCTAATCCCCGAATGTATGATGGTACGGTCATTTAAGGAGCGGACAACTTAACATGTGATGTTTGGTTTCACAGAGTTGTGTGAATGTACACCCGATCGGCGGAGCTGTTTTTCCTACGAACATTGGTGTCTGTTTGCATATATTACTAAATAGGTCATATGTTAAGCTAAGCAGGCCAGGTAAGACGGTACAAAGGGAATGTCTTACACTACCTGACTTAAGGGAAAGTATTTAGTGCGTACATTTCATCATTGATGAGATATATCTCAGAAGATATGTACAGCATACCTGATAAGCCTCTGCCCCAAATACCGTATTAGACGTAATAAGCGCCCCGCTCTAAAAATGCCCACTGGGATATTTGCTAATATATTGGGTAGTGAACAATCTGAAGTAGCACCCCTTCCAAATGATCAATGTACACAAGACTTATTTATTCGTGTATAATATGTGTGTTATATGCATCCGTAATTATGGGAAATTAAATTCTGGAAGAATATATCTGTCGTATATAAACATTTCAGGTTGTCAGCATAAACCACAAAATTTACGATCTTTCAAATCTGTTGTTTTTCACCAAAATAATATTCCAATAAGAGCCCCCTATTTCTAATTTTGAGAAGGCCCTTGGCGCTTATTATGTCAAATACGGTAGTCCATTGGGGTCGTAAATTGCTGCCTGTATCTATATGGGTGGAAAGGTACATGGAGAGTTTGTGTGGGAGTGATGCTTCTATAGCCAGCTCTTCAATATGATAGAAGACGAAATGAGCAAGGCCAAGAGGTTTTGATTGACAGGTCAGATGGTGGCTATCCTGTTCGGAGTGGTAGTTAAATGTGTATCATATCTCCAGAAAAAAATGTAACATATGTTGTAAATATTTGGGAACACTGATGTACTTGAATGTTTTTTTCATTGGAATTCAGCTAATATGAATATGAATATTGATATGACTTTTGAAGTTAACATATTAATGCTTGGTTACAGTTGCTTTACTCGCCTGTCTCACAGGCCCTGAACCTTTTTTTTTTTCCTTCTGCCCAGCCTTTACTGTAATGCTTATAGCCCTAGATGGAGAAAGTCAAGATTATCTACAGGTTGAAATTCCCATCTTGCTGGGCTGCTTTTCAATTTAAATGCTATTTCTCAAAATTATATATTTTCAGAGACTAAGCATTACTTTATTTGTTTGCATGCAAGTCGGCTAAATAAAATAACTGATAAATAAACACTATTAGACCAGTGAAAACTTGTCATCTATGACATATATCAGCACTCTTTAATGGAATTTGCAAAGGGGAAGTTTTGTTTAATGTGAGTTTTATGCTGCTTTATCAATATTCCAGCAATATCATGGCAGGGACTCCAGCATTTGACACTCCAATGTTTGAAATTGAACCCGTGCCCTTTCGGACCATGACGAAAAAATGTAAAAAAAATACATATTCTTTTCTGATGTGATGAATTCCTCTGGCAATTTCATCTGTCTCGTTTTGTTAGTTCCAAGATGAATTCTACCAATAAAGGCTAAAACTATAATGACAACAGGCTTATCTTTATCCAACCCACGAGCTGGGTATAATAATGTGTTCAGAGATGACCATAGAATTGCCTTATCTCTGCTCCACTGAAGGCCATGCCATGATGGAGTGGTCAGCCCTGATTATTCCTGTGTCCACTACTGATGGTCAGTTGGCTCCAGATGGACCCATAGGACCTGGGTTACTGTCAGTAATTGCTCACAGCATAGGATACATCTTGTCATAACAGGATTAGTATATTGCTTGTCTATATTGGCACTCTGGCCACTTCGGAATACGAGCAACAGTGCCTGTTTGTGTTTCACCCACAGAGTCAGATCTGCTGAAATTGAATGATGTTCCTTGGAAGTGCCAACACTTGGAACTGAATGTCCTTTATACCAGGAATATATATGATTTGGGTCGTATGCTTTTGAAGCAAGTGGTGAAGTTAGCTTGAACTGTAAGGTGATCTGACTGAAACAGTGAGTATGTGACTTAATATTTCAGCCATATTACTACAGGCACATGTAATTCATTCATTTAGAGCATGCTGAAACTATGATATGACAGTGGATAAATTCCTATGGAGACATGTGGAAATAATTTCGAGATTTTTTTTATACCTTTGGCTGTTCCATGCAGAATAGGTTCTTTAAGCTCTCCATGCTTATCTTAGGAGACGACTAATGAAGATTGGGTGGCTGATTGTGTGTCATTTGCCTAGATGGAATGGATTATTTTTCATTTTGTATAATTACTCGTTTGACTGTCCTTGGACCAGTTCCGCAAAGTGATGTTAGCACTAAGACGATCATGACTCCAATTGTTTAATATAGACTTACAAAAGTTGTAGTGCAAAGAACGTCTTGTGGAATGGGGCCCCTGGAGTCCATTCCACAAAGTGATTGCACTAAGATGATCGATCATAAGCCCCATACTTTAATATAGACTTACAACAGTCGTAGCTCTAATATCGCTTTGTGAAGCAGGGTCCTGGACTTGATAACTTACATACGCGATGATAAAGGTGGAGTAATGCTGACTCTAACCCAAAACAAGTCTGTCATGTGAACATGTTATGGCTAGAAAAGTCTTTATACTAATAATGACTGGCATATGCAAGATTTCCAAAGTTTTTGATATTCCCAGTTTGACTAGGATGTCGAGAAAGCTGGAAGCAAAGCTGATGGGAACCTACAGAAGGCAATATATCTGGTGTTCTTCTTGAGACATTTGTTCTGGCAGGGAGGGTAATTGTCTGGAAAAGAGAAGTTTACACCAGCGTGGTCTACCAGTTGGTGCTACAGAGTCCTAGCTAGGTAGTCGCCCTGCTTGCTTTATTGGTTGTGTGGGTGACAGAGGCCAAGTAGACGCTATTGTTTGTGGACAAAAAGACATTAACTTCCCACATGTCAGAGGAACTCTATTATTCAGCTGTAAAATGAGTGTGTTTTGTCAGTGGTATTTGTGTTGCAGTCATTAGGAGAAATAGAATGTCCATGTCTAGGAGAGGAGTGTTATCCAGTGACTAGTCTTGTAGTTGTGTGGCTCGCTGTTTGTGATTATGGTGCTGACACAAAACTGGGGTAATGCACATATA